CTCAGATAATTGTTGTGAATGTATTTTGTCTAAAATCAAGAGACCCTGGATTAAAGCTGGCTTTGATGTGTTAAATGATTTAAGTTTAATTAAAAAAAATTTTAATATGCATAAATCCTATTCCAACTTGAAAAAAAATGCAAAAAGGAGAACTATAGGTGATTTGACTAAACAAAATGAGTTTGAGATTGAAATAAAAAAACTTTTTTGGGCTGGTAACTCTAATCTTAAAAACATGATCAGTAAAGATAAAAAGAGATCGCTAAAAGACAAGATTGAAGATTTAAAATTTCTGGAAGATCAAGAAGGTGAAAGAAAGTTTGTTATTGGTTCAGAGTATATTAAGTATAGAAAAAAGGTAGTCAATGCTTTTAGTTAAATTTATTTAGCTCTGGTTTGACCTCTGTTAATTTATTCTTTTTTTCACTGATTCTAAAATGAAAAACTAAAACTACAATTTTTCTGTAAATTAGGCAAAAAAAAGTATCAGGAAGAAAAATTGTTCACAGCCTAAGAATTCGAGAGATGATATAAACAGTGAACTTATAAACACAATTTTAAGTGAGGACTCTTCAATTGAATCTGATTTTGATCTAAGTGATTGGTACCACATAGAAGTCTCTGAAAACCCAGATACAGTAACTGCAAAAATTTCAAAAGATATTTATGCTGGTAATGTTTCACTAACTGCTACAGCCTGTGATATATCGCCAAATGTTTTATAGAAGATAACAAATGCAATTCTATACCAATCAGGTGTTGATCTTAAAGAAGTTAAAAGCAGCCAATCTACTGCTTATAGAAAAATGAAAAAAGAAAATAAAAACATGTCTATCATTACAAAAGAAGATGTTAAGATAGCCATTGATGCATCTCCGTATCCATGTATAATTCATTTTGATGGCAAGACCTTGTTTGAGCTAAACAAAGGAAAAGTATTAAAGAGGGATAGAATGGCTGTTTTAGTTAACATTAATGGAGAGACTTACCTACTTGGAGTCCCTCCGCTAGTGTCATCCACTGGTGAAGATCAGTTCTTAGGTGTAATGAATTTGATTAAGGAGTATCAACTTACGTCAAAAACTAGAGGAATATGCTTTGATACAACATCATCCAACACTGGGAAAAATAAAGGATCAGTTTCTAGAATATCTAAAGAACTGGATAAATATCTTCTCCAAATAGCCTGTAGGCATCATGTGACTGAATTAAGAATGCTTCCCTTTTCGAAATTAGTGACCAACGACAAAACTAATGGACCTGATAATCCTCTTTTCAAAAATCTAAAAAATATTTTTGAAGAACCTAATTTTAATTATAATCCAGTTCAGCTGATACGATTTGATTGGAATAAGGTTAAAAGCAGTCTTTTAAAAAAGGCAGCTAATAAGTCATTGACATTTTGCAGAGCTTATGTTGGTAAACCAGGTATTATAAGAGATGATAGAAGTGAGCTTGCAGAATTAGTTGTCACTTATTTATCCCCTTTTACATATAAAGTAAGAAAAACTGGAGCTATTCATCATGCAAGATTTTTAGGAAAAGCAATTTATTATCTAAAGCTTCAACTTTTATCCAATCAACTTGCGTTTGTTCAAGAAAATGATAAACTGAAAACTGAAATTAAGCTTATAACAGAATTTATTGTTTGCTTTTATGCAAAATGGTATCTACAATCTGATGATGTCATCAAAGCTCCGTTTCTAGACATTATGGCCATACATCAATTGCATCTGTACAAAAATATATGTGCAAACCCAATAGCTGTTGATGCTGTATTAGAGTCTCAGTATAAACATTGTTGGTATTTGGATTCAACCATGATACCTCTAGCTTTGTTAGATGGTGAGTTAACAGTAGAGGAGAAGGTAAAAATTGCATCAGCAATCCTGTCGTTTGATATGCCTAGCTCTGATTATTTTAAGCCTGAGAACAAATTAAAAGTTGATATCAAGGAAATTTATAAAATGGATACAAATATTGGTATAAAACCACCATCCTTGTCTGTCTTGGTAAATAACTTTTCTTACCTGATTTTTGACATGATTGGGCTTGATAAGCAACAAGTTAAAGACTGGCTCTCACTTCCACCAAACTATTGGCATACTCAATCATGCTTCAAAAGTTTTCAAAAATATGCTGAAACTTTAATTTTTGCAAATGACCATTCAAAAAGGTCTATAGGTATGATGGACAGTATGTTCATAGATATTCTGATGAAATTGAAAAACACAACAGATTAATCACAGTAGACAAAGTTCGATCTGTACTCAGATCATTAAAACGAAAATCCAGTACGATTTCAAAAAGTAAATTTAATGATGGGCTTGGTGTGATCCAGAAAAAGATAAAGAAATAAACTTGATAATTGATTAGATTGTCAAATGCTATTGTTTTTATTATAAAATTTCTAATATAGTTTTATCTTTTTATTTCTTCTTACTCATTTTGATTTTTCAAGGCAGATAAATAGCAGTTTTTTAAATATAGGTAACTGACATTGCAGTGATTACAGCCAATATATATATATATATATATATATATATATATATATATATATATATATATATATATATATATATATATATATATATATATATATATATATATATATATATATATATATATATATATAAACCTAACATTACCTACAAAAATTACCAATTTTCACCATTTTCAGTAGTAACAAAAATAGGTTTTTGAGGGGTAGTAAAAAAACCATACACTTTTAAACAAAAATATAGGCCTATATATGTATAGTAAAAAAAAAAAAATTACCCCATCCTCAAAATGGCCGAAAATAATCACTTTTCAGTCATTTTTTCCCTAAATTATTGGCTTGAGGGGGGGTCAAGAGTAATCTGATGGCGCTCAAACTTTTTGAGGCTAATTTTTTATATATTTGCCCCAAATTTAGAGGGTATGGTTTTTTAGATTTAGAAATTGTTTTTTTTTGACTACCCCTAATATATATATATATATATATATATATATATATATATATATATATATATATATATATATATATATATATATATATATATATTATGAATGGTAAAAATGAATGGTAAAAAAGGGGGAGGTCAGGGGGAGGATTGAATGGTAAAAAAGGGGGTGGTGTTTATGGTAAAAAAGGGGGTGGTGTTTATGGTAAAAAAGGGGGTGGTGTTTATGGTATAAATGGTAAAAATGAATGGTAAAAAAGGGGAGGTCAGGGGGAGGACTGAATGGTAAAAAAGGAGAGGTCAGGGTGAGGACTGAATGGTAAAAAAGGGGGAGGTCATATATGTTTATAGTTCCATAAAATCATATGAAATCAGTAATATTGAATTTAAATCCAATCTTATCGAGCAAATATGGACTTAAATTGAGTATGGTCATGAAAAAATTTTATTAGGCAACATTTCAAATCAATGAAAATGAGTTAACAAATATACTTGATTTGTAATTGTTGATGATAGTAACCGCATTTTTAGTTTGTCTCATTTGCCACCACTCGGTTTGAGTAGTAAAGGACATCATATTCTAAAATGGTTTTTTAAAATGAAAGATCGAAAAGATGATTTCTCTTCATCAACTAAGAAATTTGAATATGTTAGAGGAAACTATGAAAAAATTAATATTTATATAAAAATCATAAATTAGGCTAATTAATTTCAAAACGCATGCATTGACAAATGTTATGATAAGCTTTTATATCATTACAATCAATCATGCAAGAATTATATACCTATTGTTAAAATAAAAAATAAAGCAAGTGAAGTTTGGATGTCAAATAGCTTGAGAGAAGAAATCAACTACAAAAATAATTATTGGGCAACAAATAAAAAAATAACTTTTTCATAGTTGGCTCAAAAGAAAAATATAATAAAATGAAAAGAAACATTCTTAAGCAAACAAATAACTCAGCTAAAAATTACGAACGAAAATTGGTAAATCAGGTAAAATATGAACCTAAATTACTAATTCATATATTAAAAAAAAGAAGTAAAAAATCATATAAGAGTACTTAATGATAATACTGGTTCAACGATGTATGAAAAACCTAGTATTGTTGATATTTTTGACAAATTTTTTCATTCTGTTTACATAAAAGAAGAAAATACAAATGATTGTAATTTTGAAGTACGAACAAATAGCAAGTTTGGAAAAATAGTTGTTGATCTAGCACTTGTGAATTCATTTTTTTCACTTAAGGATTAAACAAGACTAGTGGGTATGACTTCGTCATACCCACTAATCTTGTTTAATCCTTAAGTGTTTAAAGTCTGCTATGAAAGTTTTTCAATACCACTTTCAATCATCTATCAACAAAGTTTAATAAATAGGAATTTATCCTGATCTCTGTAAGGCTTATGTAAGTCCCATGATTAAAAATGGAAGCAGTAAATTTTTTGTAATCAACAGCATAGCTTCTTAAAAGGTAAAAACTGTATAACAAATTTATTAGAGTCCTTAGATTTTATAACATACCAACAGTAGACAATTTATATACTGATTTTTAAAAAGCATTTGATAGAGTGCCCCACAAGACATTAATATCATAAATATGTCGTTATGGTATAGAAAATAAAACGCTAAACTAGATAGAAGCATATTTATCAAATAGAAAACAACGCATTATAATTGGTGATAAAAAATCAGGTTGGTTCTGAGCAGTGTTCCACAAGGTTTTGTACTTGGACCATTATTGTTCTTGTTATATATCAATGATTAACCTTCTAAAATTATTAATATATGCAAACTTTATGCAGATGATACCAAAATTATTGCTGTAGTTAACAACTAGGCAGACTCGAAAAGCTTGCTGGACAATATTAATAATCTAATTAAATAGTCTGACAAATGGATGATAAATTTTAACATCAGCAAATGTAAAATCATGCATTTTGGAAAACATAATAAAAGTTTTGAATATTCTATAACAGATTCAAAATTAGATTCAACAACTAATGAAAAAAACATTGGTAAATTTCAAATACTATGAAGTGGAATCATCATGTAAATAGTCAAAGTAATAGTAAAAATCAAATCATTTACTTATAAAGGCAAAAACATTTTGTACTGCACTTTTGTAAGACTTGTTCTTGAATATGTATCACCAATATGGAATCATATAATAAAAATGATATACATAAATTAGAAAGTGTTCAACAACAAGCAACTAAATTGATTCCAGAATTAAAGGACCAACCCTATGAAGAAAGGTTTAAAAAACTTCAACTGACTTCCTTAAAAACCAGGAGAATAAAATAAGATTAAAAATTAATTATTATAAGATTCTTCATAATTTGGACAAAGTGTTTTGGTATCAACAACCAAAAACAGCAATTTCTATTTCAGCAAATGACCCAGCTGCAAACATTAGAAGACATAAAGCATGCATAGATATTGAGGTAATAAAAATAAACAGATCAAATGAAAATTTTCTGACAAATAGAGTAGCAAAATGGTGAAATAAACTACCAGAAGAAATCCTTTCCGCCAATATTGTAAAAATCTTAATTAATTAATAATTAAATCTTGTTGTAAGTACAAGTTTGATACACATATGGATATTATGAAACTCTGATCTCTATGAATATTTTGAAACTGTAATTAGAATGGGCTCATAATAGATTCAACATGGTGTTGAATCTTAAGAAACATAAATAAATAAAAACATGGCTTGCTGCACCAACCTAACTCTTTAATTGATACAGTGGCACTCTCTTGCATGTAAATGTCAGGAATGACACCTGGTTGTAAAAAATAGCTTGGACATTGAATGCCTATTAAAGTAATTAAAGTAAGTAATATGTTATAATAATACTAACCTCGACATTTCTGATTCCTTGAAAATCCATTGAAAATGTCTGGTATCCTTTGGCAGAAGAACTATTCACAAAGATAAGCTGAAATGTTAACATTATAAAAACTAACAACATTACTGAGATATAAAAAAAAGCTTAAATTAAGAAAATAAATAAAATAGAAATAAGTTAAGATGTAATTGATATAGCGTAATATATTAATATTACACTATATTAAGTTAATATAATTAATATACTTGATATAAATATTAATGTAATTAATATAGAGTATATAAATTATATTAACTTAATTAATATATTATATTAAGTTAATATAATTAATATACTTAATTATCTGATAAACTAAAGGCAGAAAAAAATTAATTATGTTGATTTTATAGGAAGTTACTTACGTGAATAATATACTTCACTAATATGTATAATACAATTCCCTTAGGAGTCATAATATAATACAATTCCCTTAGGAGTAATGAGTTTATCATTTCAATCACCTATATAGCCTATATTCTCATTATTTTTTTTTTATATGCTTAACTATAGTCTCTTTGTTTTGTTCAGAACATCAGTTTAAAATATCTTTTTAATTTTTTTATCCTTTTCCTCTTCCTAACTTTTTCTTCGTTTCACTTAGGCTTGACAGATTGGTATAGTCCTTTGATGCATATTTTTGCATTTTTAAAAAATAATTTATGTTATTATGGGACTAGGGAGCTATGACTATTTTCTGTACTAGACTAATATACACATATATTATGATTATTTTTTGGCTCATCATTTGTTTTTATTACTCCAAATTTTATATAAATATAATTTTTAAACATTTTCACTTCCAAAAAGGCTGCAAGCAACCACTATTAGAGTTGAAAGTTACTGGAAGAAAAAACATGAGGTTTATAAAGCAAAAAGATTAACAAACGACTTAAAAGATTGCATAGTATATGAATCAGTAAAACAAAAAGAAAGGAGCGAATTCCACAAAAATAATGTTCCATGATGAATAATTAAAAAAACTAGATGAATAAGAATTTTTGAAGTACTTTGGAACATTCACAGTAAAAGGATGAAATTTAAGTGAATGAAAACTATTCTTTATTACCAGTAACCCTTAAAGTTACAGGAAAATGATGACAAGTGGAGGCCTTTGAGAATGACTTAAATAATGTGATTAGCAAGAAATGACTCATTAGCTTCAAAACCTTTATATAAAATAAAACAAATAATAGAGAGAAGACATTAGTCTTCTCTCTAATATTTGTTTCATTTTATATAAAACAAATAATAAGTAGGAAAATTGCAGAAGTCAGTGTGCTTTCTAGATTTTTAAAAATTGGAACCACTTATTTAACGCTTATTAATAGTTTAGCAAGAATTGAAGAGAGTTCTGGAGAATACTTTTGTAAGACTATGATGAAAATGTTGTGTGGATTATAAGCCACAGAAGAATTTTATTGACAATTGACTTAAGAATTAAGAGCTGGAGTGATTTGGATGCCTAAAAATGGGTTAATCTGTTTAACTGGAATGGCAGAAAAAATAAGGCCATTAGATTTAACAGTCAAATTACAGGAAAAGTTCTTTCAAATAACTCTGTCTTTTTTAAAGGAAAAGTAATAAGATTAGACTCATGAATTGGAGATATAATGTTAGACTTTATTTAACAACACTGAACCTAGCATTTGAGATAATA